TTTTGGGATGTCTTGTTTTGTTCCAGGGACATAAAACCAAATCATCTGAGTAATGCAGGAGTTGCACACACACAGAACCCAAGTGAAATAATACACAAATCCTCTCCTGGGATGTCTTGTTTTGCTCCAGGGACATAAAACGAAATCACCTGAGCAAAGCAGCAGTTGCACACAGGGAGAACCCAAGTGAAATAACACACAAATCCACTTTGGGGATGTTTTGGTTTGTTCCAGGCAGTTGTAGGGACACAAACCCAAATCACCTGAGCAAAGCAGGAGCTGCACACACACAGAACCCAACTGAAACAACACACAAATCCATTCCTGGGATACTTTGGTTTGTTCCAGGAACATAAACCCAAGTCACCTGAGCAAAGCAGGAGTTGCACACACACAGAACCCAAGTGAAATAACACACAAATCCACTTTGGGGATGTTTTGGTTTGTTCCAGGCAGTTGTAGGGACACAAATCCAAATCATCTGAGCAAAGCAGGAGCTGCACACACAGAGAACCCAAATGAAACAATACACATTCCTGGGATGGTTTCTTTTGTTCCAGGGACACAAACCCGAATCACCTGAGCAAAGCAGGAGTTGCACACACACAGAACCCAAGTGAAGTAACACAAATCCAACTTTAGGATGTTTTGGTTTGTTCCAGGGAAACAAACCCAAACCACCCAAGCAAAGCAGGAGTCGCACCCAGGGACAACCCAAGTGAAATAACCCCCAGTTGCACTCCTGGGCTGTTTTGCTCCGTATCTCCAGACACCCAAAGCCTCCCCTACGCCCATTTCTTCCTCGAGGCACCGCCAGCCCGTTTCTCAGGGAAAAGGAATCGGGATGAATAGTCCCATAAAGAATCCCAGCAGAGCTTGTCCTGCCCGGAGCCGCCACCACGCCAAGGTCCAACTCTCAATTAACCCCCGGCCGACCTTCCTTCACTTTCTTTCCCCCTCCTCTGCCCTTCCTGAGAAAGTTCAGCGTTTCCTGGAAAAGTCTCCCTGCCTGTTTGATATTGTACTTCGCCTTGGTTGCTGAAGGAAGGATTTACAGGTGCCTGGCCCCCTCTGGAAGACCATGACCGGAGGGTGACCTCCCGGTACAATATGTGAACTCCTGCCCTGCTGATAAGGCTGCCAGATATGAGTAGGATTTTTCAAATAATCCTTTGGGAATTTATAAGCAGCGCGGCCATAAAACCGAGGTGACTGGAAGGTCGATTTCACTAAAAATAATAAATATCCCGATGTTTATTCAACGTTGGGCCTTTTTAACTGCGGGCCGAGCGCCGAGATAACGCCATTGTAAATGACAAATATTGGGATTTTTTGGTAACTATTACATTATGATCCTTCCGTCTGACACTGATGTGGCCGTTTCCCTTCGATGCTTGCAGGATCCCTGACATTGTTCAGCCCAAGTTGGGCCTGGAAAGCCGGGGCAGGATTCGATCACGGGTCAGGAAAAGGGCAGTTTTCTTCTCGGGAGCCTCGGGAACCTTTTTCTGGTGCTCCCGTCTCACTAACACACCTTCTGCCCGGGGGTTTTTGGCCTTATCAGGGGGGTTTGGTGGAAATAGAGAAGGAGGAATGGGAGGACTGAGTGATCTCAGCTCAGGATGGGGACAGGGGACACTGACCTGCTGGCATGGAACCCCTGCTCCAGGTTTAACCTCCCCATGGAATCGTTTCTGGTGGAAAAGACCTCAGAGACTGAGTCCAACTCCAGCAGTGCCAAGGCCACCCCTGACCCATGTCCCCAAGATCCACCACTGTCCTGGGCAGCTGTGCCAGGGCTGGACAACCCTTTCCATGGAAAAAATTTTCCCAGTATCCAACCTAAACCTCCCCTGGCACAACTTGAGGCCGTTTCCTCTCATCCCATCCCTCGTTTTTTGGGAGAAGTGACTGGTCCCACCAGGCCCCACCCTCCTGTCAGGGAGCTGTGGAGAGACCATCACCAAGTCTCCTGCACTATTCCCACCTCCAGCAGGAGACAATCCCACCCAGATCCATCCCATGGATCCGGCCATGAAACCTGCCTTGGAACAGCAGCATTTCCATGATATATTTTGGGGGACTGACTGATATTTCAGATTAAAAAGCAAAGCAACAAGACAAGAAAAAAAAACCCCTCAAATGTAGAAACAAAACCCATTTGAAATGTGCCAAACTGCTCCAGCCACCACCAGAATCCCTTCATCCTCCTCCTCATCCCACCTTCAGGTCCAAACACGTTAAATCCGCGCCGAGGCCCGTGAGCTGCTCCAATATTATCCCTAATATCCTGTTTTCATCATCCAGATTTTCCCCTGAAGTTTCTCCCAAATAAAGTGACACGTGGAAAGCCACGAAACCCCTCGGAGCAGTTTGTAATCTCCAATTAGCAAACGAACTGAGGAGGAGGGTTTTGTCCAACCTAAACACGGCGACGCAATTTCGGGGAGGGCAATTCCTTCATCCCGATAAAATATCCCGGCAAAGGAGCCAAATGGCATAATTATTAACAGCTGAGGGCACAGAAAGAGGTCTTACATAACTGGGGTTTTAGGACAATTCTTCTCCTTCAGCAAAATTCCTGCTGGAGAAACTTTGGAAGGGCCTTAAAAACAATTCCCTCTCGAGCCTGGCTTGGAAAGGGAGGAAAGTTGGGAACGGAGCGTTCCTTTCATGTGCTGCCTGGGCTTTGGAATGTCCAACCACAGGAGAAGAGCCCTCCAACAGCTCCCAAGCTCCTTAAAAAAGTGGATGCAGACCCCACAGGTTGGTTGGGTTGGTGGATGCAAAGCTTGGAGGAGGCACCTCGGGAATTACAAGTCGGAGGGTGAGCTCCGAAGGGAGCTTTTATTATTCATTTAATAATTGAATTAAATCTTAATATAAAAGTAATAAAATAATTTAATTTCATAATCAATAATAAAATAATTTAATTTGATATTAATTTATCAGGAGCTTATCTGAGCTCCTGATAAATTAATAATGAACAAATTAATGCCTTACGTGCTCGTAACGCCCAGGAGAAAGAGCAGCTCAAACACAGGAGATCTCCTAAAAGTTCTCCAGCACTGACACAGCTCAGGGGGACAATTTGCAGCCAAAAAAATGAGCCCTGACACAGAAGAGTTCCAGTTGGATCCCGTTTTTCCATCAGGGATGCGGGAGTGCTCCAGTCAAAGGTGGATCTGGTGGGATTTGGCAGCAAATCTACTCGAGGCAAACGGTGTTTGAAGGGCAGCAAAGTTCTTCTGGAGCAGCAAATAGTTCATTTCAAACCAATTCCTGCCCCAAAACTCCTCCATTTGCACTGAATAATCAATATACTGTGGTCAAAGCTGAATTTTTGGAGGAAAAATATGTCAAAAAATCATAAAATCCAACCAATTCCTCCCCAAAACTCCTCTATTTCATTGAAAAAATTAAGATACTGTGGCTAAAGCAGAACTCTTGGAGGAAAAATATGTCAAAAAAATCATAAAATCCAACCAATTCCTGCCCAAAACTCCTCTATTTCCAACAAATTAAGAATATACTGTGGCTAAAGAAGAACTCTTGGAGGAAAAATATGTCAAAGACCATAAAATCAAACTAATTTCTCCCCAAAACTCCTCCACTTGCACGGAATAATGAAGATACTGTGGGACAAAGGAGAATTTTGGGAGGAAAACCGTATCATGGAATCATAAAATCATAAAATCCAACCAATTCCTCCCCAAAACCCCTCCATTTGCACTAAATAAAGAATATACTATGGAGAAAGATGAATTCTTGGAGGAAACATATGTCAAAAATCATAAAACCAAACCAATTCCTGCCCAAAACTCCTCTATTTCACTGAATAATAAAAGATACAGTGGTCAAAGATGGATTCTTAGAGGAAAAATATGTGATAGAATCATAAAATCCAACCAATTCCTGCCCAAAATTCCTCTATTTGCACAGAATAATGAAGATACTGTGGACAAAGGAGAACTCTTGGAGGAAAAATACATCAGAAAATCATAAAATCAAATCAATTCCTCCCCAAAACTCCTCTATTTGTACTGAAAAATGAAGATACTGTGGACAAAGGTGAATTCTGGGAGGAAAACTGTATCATGGAATCATAAAANAAGGTGAATTCTGGGAGGAAAACTGTATCATGGAATCATAAAATCATAAAATCCAATCAATTCCTGCCCAAAACTCCTCAATTTTCACTGAATAATGAAGATTCTGTGGCCAAAGATGAATTCTTGGAGGAAAAATATGTCAAAAAATCATAAAACCAAACAAATTACTCCCCCAAACTCCTCTGTTTCATTGAAAAATGAAGATACAGTGGACAAAGGTGAATTTTGGGAGGAAAACTATATCATGGAATCATAAAATCATAAAATCCAACCAATTCCTGCCCAAAACTCCTCCATTTATACTGAATAACCAATATACTCTGGCCAAAGATGAAGTCTTGGAGGAATAATAAGCCAAAAAATCATAAAATCCAACCAATTCCTCCCCAGAACTCCTCTATTTGCACGGAATAATAAAAGATACAGTGGACAAAGATGAATTCTTGGAGAGAAAATAAGTCAAAAATCATAAAATCCAACCAATTCCTCCCCAAAACTCCTCTATTTGCACAGAATAATGAACATACTGTGGACAAAGATGAATTCTTGGAGGAAAAATAAATGAAAAAATCATAAAATCCAACCAATTCCTGCCCAAAACTCTTCTGTTCTCACTAAATAAAGAAGATACCGCGGGCAAAGGTGAAAATCTTGGTGGAAACTAAGAAATATATACATTAAAAACTCAGGATTTGTGATAATTGGAGGAAACATCCCTTTATATTTCCGAGCTCTGCGTGAACTCAGAGGGTTTTACCCAAATCCATCCATCCCTGGGCTATTTTCTCCTTCAGGGAATGCACTTTTGAGGCAGAAATTATAAATAAATATAAATAAATATAAATAAATATAAATAAATATAAATAAATCACCCCATGGGTCACTCACCAGGACAGAATAGATGTGCAGGCAGCGATAAACTGGGGAGAAATCCACCAAATCCTGGGCTCCAGGCACCTGGAAAACGGCAGGAGACGGGTGTGAAATATGTGGAATATGTGGAATAAGTGCAGGAAAGCAGGACCTCCCCCCCCACAAAAATCACATCTAAAGTGCACTGCAAAAAAAAAGTGCAAGGCTGAAAAATAATCAATTAGGAATAAATGACACTTGGGAAAAAAAATCACATCCAGGTAAGTGCAGCTCTTCAAAAAAATAATATGTAAATGTCATTCTAAAAAAAAAAAATCACATTTAGGTAAGTGCAAGTCTAAAAAAAGTTATAGAATATGTATTATTATATAATATGGAAATGTCACTCCAAAATATCAAATATAGGTGAGAGTAACTCCAACACAAGCAGGTTCAACAGAGAGATTTCAGGTATAATAACCAAGTTGCTAATATATGATTGTTATATGAGATTATATCTGATTTCATCTCAATTTTTTTTAATTTTTTCAAGGTTTTAAAGCAGGAAAATGTCCTTTTAATGCTGATTTTGCCCCATTTCCAACCCCCCTGCAGCAGATTCATTTTAACCAGGGGCTCCAACACCGGTCCCGGCGTCCCGGTCCAAGTCCTTATGCAACAAAAGGGGATCAAACAAACCAAACCCAACTTATTCTTTAGATTCCCAGTTTGATTTGTTTTAAAATAAAGCTGGAACTGTTATTTTATTTTGCTTTTTTTTTGTGTGTGTGTGTGTGTGTGCTCAGGGAAGAGGCGCCACAAAGGCTCCACCACCTTTCAACAACACGCCCGAGTCGTGAGCGGGGACGAGGAAGAGATTTTTTCCAAGGCTTGGGATGGAGGGAGGGAAAGGAAAAGATCAGAGGGGGAAATTTGCATACAAGAGGCTCTTGTCCTTTGGAGATGTTGGAGGGAACACGGATTAAAACTTGTTGGCCGGGCCTTAAAGCCGAAGGAACCGTCCCCTTCTCCCCGAAAATCCGGAGAGCAGGGGCGTGTTCTGTTGACATGTGGTGGGGGAATAAAAAAAAGAAAAGGGGGAGAAGAGATGAAAGGGCCCAATGGACAGGCCTTGGAAACGTGTTTATTTTCTATATTTTTAATTGTGCTTCTGAGGCCCTTGGGCTGGGAAGGAGGTGGGGTGAAGAAAAGAGGAGTTTCGGGATGAAGGAAGGTTTGCCAACCTCACGCCCGGGGTGAGGGTCCCGCTCGACTCAGCCAGCAGGGAGGGCAAAGGGATGGGCTGGGAAGGGAAAACGAGGGATTTTGGGAAAGAAACTCCTGGATAATGTGGAACTGGTGGTAAAGAATCTCCTCCATGCAAAGGGACTCAGGGCTCGGCCACCCAGAGCTTCTCGGTGGGAGTGGAAATGATGGAGCAGAGACCGGTTTGGGTTGGAAAGGAACTTCAGGATCATCTCATTCCACCCCCCTGCCCTGGGCAGGGACACCTTCCACTAAAGCAGGTGGCTCCAATTCCAAAAAAAAAAGATACAGAGACAGAAAGCGAAGCTACAGACATGGGAATATCCAATCCTGCATCTTCAGCGTCACTGATCCCCAAAAAACTTGTCCAGATCCAAATCCAGATCCCCAAAAAACTTGTCATTCCCAAGCCATCAGTGCAGGGAAGGGAAGCAGGAGGCTCGCTGGGAACAAGGCAGCAAAGAGAATTAATTTTTGGGGTGCTGTGAGCCCACTCAACCATCTCACTGCACTCTCTTTCCCACCCTTGCAGCAAACACTCCATCCCAGGAGCTTTTCTGGATGAGCAGGGTTGGCTCTCCGGGAAGGAAGAAGGTTTCCAAGCAAAGGCTGAGGCTGGGATCACACGTGGAACCCTTCCCATGTTCATCTGGGATGTTCAACACAACCCACCCGAAGGCTGGGAGAGCTGGGGGGGTTCCCCTGGAGAAGAGAAGGCTCCAGGGAGAGCTGAGAGCCCCTGGCAGGGCCTGAAGGGGCTCCAGGAGAGCTGGAGAGGGACTGGGGACAAGGCATGGAGGGACAGCACACAGGGAATGGCTTCACATGGACAAAGTACAGGGTTAGATGGGATACTGGGAAGGAATTGCTGGCTGGGAGGGTGGGGAGGTCCTAGAATGAATTTCCCAGAGAAGCTGTGGCTGCCCCTGGATCCCTGGAAGTGTCCAAGGCCAGGTTGGAGCAACCTGGTCTAGTGGAAGGTGTCCCTGCCCATGGCAGGGGGTGGAACTGGATAATCTTGAAGGTCCCTTCCCACCCAAACCATTCCAGGATTCCCTGGTCACAGCTGAACCGAGGGCACAGAGCTGGGAACAGCCCTCACCAACATCCCTTTCACCTTTTATAACCCTTTATTTGACAACTGCAAACGCGAGGCAGCACTTTTATCCCATCTATGCCGGTTTTATCCCGCCTTCCTGCCCCTTGATTTTCCATTTGGAGCCTCCCAGGCCTTCCAAACTCCCGAACCAGCTCCCAAACCCACATTTCGGCTGGTTTGTGGCCTCCTCAGGACACAGTTTTGCCTCGCCGGCGTCGAGAGCGATCGGCCTGCAGTTGTTAAAACACTTAAAAAACGCTTCTGGCTCCCAAATCCCTGATTGCAAAACTCCTGGAGATCACTGGAGCAGACAGGGAAGCACCAGCAGGCCCTCCCCGTTCCATCCTCCAGAGGAATCTGTCATCCCTTCCCATCACCATCAAAGCAGGCCCAGCTTTCCAGCGAATTCCGACTCGGGATCAAACAGCTTGGATTCGGGACGCTGAGCTGAACCCGATCCATGGAGAAATATTCCCGATAAAGGTTTATTGCCAAAAAAGCTGGAGTTTCCTCCCCTCCTCCTGCCCCCCGAGAAATTCTTTCAAAGCAACTGCAGAGTTTGCACAGCTTCTGATCTTCTGTGAAAACTTTTTAAGCCCACACACGCTCCCAAAAAAAAAAAAAATCTGCTGGGCTGTCTCTGCAGAGCTCCCAGTTCCGAGCCATTAACGGCTGGAAAAATTCCCGATAATTTTCACGTTCCTAATTTCAAATCCCCAATCGAGGAACGGCGTGACGGGGACGTGGAAGGCCAACCTGGGACCACAAGAAAGTCTGTGGGAAACAAAGCCAAGCCCCCCCCTCTCAAAAAATGTGCTGGGATTTGAAGCAGGGTGTATAAATATAAGTGTAGGATAAGGAACAATATAATTATGACATAAATATATATGTTTTTTAAGGAAAAAAACAGACCATGTCTTCCACACACACACACCACAGCCCTACAAAAACATTCCTATTATTCAAAATCTTTCCAAAATAGCCAAGTCTATCAACCAGTCTGTGATTCCAGGGAATTCTCTCTCTGGCTGGTTTAACACACTGCACAATTTCACGTGTCTAATATTTACAGATTTCAATCTTTAACTAATATTTCAATATTTGGACACATCTAAAAATTCAGACTTAGCACATCCCCTTCAGCAATGACTTGATTTTCTGAGCCAAAGCTGCAGCACCAACGTTCAAAAAACATAAATAAATCCTTGATTTTTGAGACCTGACCACGACCCGAGACCTTGGACCACCCCCACAACGGGACTGATTTCGCCCCTGACATCTCCCCTAATCTTTTTTAAGGGTTTTTTTCAAATGCCTTTTCATTTGCAAGAACAAAGGATTTATTCATCTTGTCCAAAAAATTTCCCAGTCCACCAAACATCAGCTTCCCAAATCTCGTTCCTGAATCTCGCACCGGGCACGTTCCCGGAGCTGGGAGCAGGGGGAGACCTGTCAGCCTCTGTAAACAGCCAAACTCTCTCTGTTCTGCAAGAACTTCTGGGTTCAACAATCCCTGACATAAATTTAACCCACGGAAGCCAAGTTTTTCATGGAAATGTTTGACTGTGACACCACCAACACCAGGTTGGCCCAGATTAAGGGACTGCTCTGGCTTTGGATAATTTGGGATACAAGGATGGGAATCTCTGAACCTTGATGGGTTTTGATGTGAAGACATGAAACAAGCAGAGAGAGGTATGTTTGAAAAACCCTCCCGACTGAAACAGCAGCAGTTCCAGAGAACCTGAATTCAGGAACCACCTCATGGGTCTGGGGGTTGATGTCCAGGGATCAGTTGGGGCTGAGGAACATGGGACACATGACATGGAATCCACCAAGGCTCAGCTCCAGCAGAGGACACGGAGCACGGTGGGGAGGGGAATGCTCATGGGACACACATTCCAAGAAGGATCTGTTCACCTTATGGGATAAAACTCTACTGCTGCCAGAAGTGTTGGTTCTGCATCTCCAGCTCTGGAGTCCTCAGGATAAGACATGGACTTCTTGGATCAAGACCAGAGGAGGCCCCGCAGATGCTGCCAGGGCTGGAGCCCCTCTGCTCTGGAGTCAGGCTGGGAGAGCTGGGGGGGTTCCCCTGGAGAAGAGAAGGCTCCAGGGAGAGCTGAGAGCCCCTGGTAGGGCCTAAAGGGGCTCCAGGAGAGCTGGAGAGGGACTGGGGACAAGGGATGGAGGGACAGCACACAGGGAATGGCTTCCCACTGGTTAGATGGGATATTGGGAACGAATTGCTGGCTGGGAGGGTGGGGAGGCCCTGGCCCAGGTTGCCCAGAGAAGCTGTGGCTGCCCCTGGATCCCTGGAAGTGTCCAAAGCCAGACTGGAGCAACCTGGACTAGTGGAAGGTGTCCCTGTTGTAGATTTGCTCCATCCTGTGTGGTCTCAGTGTCCTTTGACTAGAAATGACTGTATTCCTACAGTCAGGAGGGTTCCCAGGACACTGTAACCCTGGAATCGGCCAGAGGGTCCTGCCGGCTCCGTGCTCTCACTCTGGCTCATGTGAGACTCAACAAGCTCTGTCTGGAACACAGAGGGTTTTCCCAGTGTCCAAGATGTCTCTTCCATAATTCCCAAAAAAAAGGTGGAGGCTGAAGGCACCTAAGGAAGACATTTCTCAGGCAGAGCCAAGAGAGCTCTCCGGGGTCGCTGCTCCAGCTCCCACAACTTTGTAAGGAATCTATTCCGCTCACTCAGAGGACTGCAACTTATTCCTGGAGCCAAGAATGCCAAACATGAGGAATTCTGGCCATGCCTCACACCTGCTGGTGTCCTGAGCGCCAAACTCCTTCTCCCAGGAGAAAAACTGCCTGGAATTTGTTTGTTTGTCCCTCAAAGATGCCGAGAGGCTGTTTTTCCGAGGGGTGACGTCCTCCCTTAGAACTTCCCTACAAAGGAGCACCAGGGAGCCCAACCGGACCCAACCACTTCACAGGACACCTGTTTTGGGGACAAGAGGAAAAGAGGGACAGCGCTGGTGGAGCTTGTCCTGCTGGACTCAACAGCAGCACAGAAGAAAAGCTGCTGAAAACGGGAAGAATCCGGCGGAGCTTTGTAGCCCTCTGGATGTCGTTTACTACAAAGGGAAGAGCTGGCACCGACTGGGCAGGCTGGGGAGCTGCTCACTGTGAAGTGCAAACCCTCCTGCAGCAACTGGACACTCATAAAACCCCAGTTTGAGGCTTCTCCCAGCTCGTTTCCCAGCTGTTCCCACTCCCGCGCTCCGGCTCCCTCCGCCTCTGGGAGGCATCTGTGCTCCAGTGGGACGAGTCTGGACCGGGATGTCTCCAAACTGGACAGTGCTCATGGAGTTTGTGCTCTGGAGCTGCCAGAGCTCTCTCAAGCTGCTCCAAGGGACAGAATCATCTCCACTGGAATTGACTGTAGGAGCCAAAACCCTTCTGCATGTTCTTCCCTTTCAAAGCTCTTCCTAGAAATTTTGCTGTGGAGATGAAGGGATTGCTCCATAGGGGTGAGGAATAACGGGATCACCAGAACAGTTCGCCCAGCCTGGGTGGAGAACTCCACACCAGAACCTCCTGAAGGGCTTCCTAGAGGTACAAATTTACATTTACCCCACTTTTTCCAGCCTGTGAACCAGGATCAGGAGCTCTCCTGCCTAAACTTAAATCAGGACCACCCAGGACCATCCTGTTTCCCATTCTGAGGTTTTCTTGGAAGCAGAGAAGTAGAAGCCTCAGCAATCTCTGGTGGGCAGAACACAACCAAGGACACATGTCCAGTGGGTACAGCTGTGTCCCTCTACCCCACAAAGCACTCCAGAACACGGGGGGTTGTGCAGGAAATGAGATACCTGCACTCAGGACACTTCATATTAATAATTTTAAGCATTAAGGGCCAACTTTGAAACCCAAATTCTGAATTAACAATATTCCTGCACAGATCAGGCAATCAGAAGGAGGAAGGGCTCCCACCAGAAGGTGAAAAGTGAGGAATGAATTCAGCAACCACGGAAAGTGAGAAGTTGTTTTTCTCCTTTCCTTAATAAAGTGTCTTTACCTTGACACACAAGTTTTCTTGCTGTGGCCCCTCACGTTGTGTCCCCAGATCTTCTGAGGAGGTGAAGGGCGAGCAGCAACTGAGTGGGGGCTTAACCACAGACTGAGGTCAAACCACTACACCCAACATTCCTTCAGATTTGGAATCATAGAATCCTTTAGGTTGGAAAAGCCCTCTGAGATCATCCAGTCCAACCATCCCCCAGGACTGCCACTGACCCATGTCCCCAGGTACCAAATCCACAGGGATTTTAATTCCCTCCAGGGATGGGGATCCACCACTGACCTGGGCAGCTGGGCCAGGGCTGGAAAACCCTTTTGGTGAAGGAATCTTCCCAATATCCAACCTGATCCTCCCCTGGCACAGCTGGAGGCTGTTCCCTCTCCTCCTGTCCCTTGTTCCCTGG